GAGTCTCTAATGTTCCGCTTCTCAACAACTCTAACTTTGCATGTCCATTCACCTTTGTTATCTTTAATATGGCTAATCATTTGCACTGTTGTCATCCCTGTAATTTTATTTTAAAATAAACGGTATATTAACACAAGAAGACATTGTTTGATAAAATTCATTTATTCAAATTCAGTAAAACAAATCCCTCATTTGTAGTCAACACCACATGGGACCGAACTGCTTTGGATTGGAACCATATTATTTTAAAAAAGTGTATTAAACACCTCATTTTTAGTAAAAAAACACTCTTGGTCAAGTCAGACCGTGATGAGAGTCATGCTTTGTTCACTAAAAAAACTGAGTATCCCGCTCACTTAACTTTGTATTTGAATTTTAATTAATATAATTTTAATGAATAAACATTTATAAATTTGTCTAATCCCTACTTTCTACTTACTTCTCATAATGAGGGTGATGAAAACCCCTCACAAATAGAACAAAACAAATTTTCAAAGCAATATATATTTAGAACTAGATCAGGTCTATGCAAAAAGCATGTAAAATAGAAGTTCAAGGTATTGTATGCTCTATACCTTCACACCTAAAAAATGAGTTCCACAATTGCCTATGGTGTATACATAAACAATTCTATAATATGCAGTTTGCCACTCTAATTCAATCTGACAAAATTTGATCGCCCTATTCTTGTGGATTTCATACATATGGATAATTATTGGAACTATAAATTCATATAATTTTAAAAATTATACTAATATTGACTTCCATGACATAATAAAATACTTTTAAACACAATCAATTTTTTTAAAAATTAATTTAAAGAAAAGTTGCCTACTAAAGAACATGATTGTTAAGCCCTAATGGCATGATAAAGCTTATTTAAATTCAGGAAGAACAAAAAAATGGTATTCAAACATTTCACATACCTCGAAGGAGATGTGCCAAGTTAGTGCGTCAACCCAATGTGTATGAAAGTTATTTGCTTCCCTTATGAAAACCATAATAAAAAGCACATTTGAAAAATAAAAGATGAATAAAACCTATGCACGATAGTCAATACTTCCTCGTATGACACTACATTTGTTAACCTTTCATGGAATGAGTTTTATGGGTATCTCAACGTTGTGGTTCACGGATTCAGTTTTATTAATCTGTCTAAAAACTATTTTAAACTGCCTCCAAAACGTGAAAAACCAAAGGGGTGGGAGTGAATGTGGTTCGTTCTACAAGGCGAGGGGGCTGGTGTTTGATTCTGGGCAGCCAAATGCCACCCAACCTCCTCCTCCTCTTCCTCCAAGACACAATAAGAGCCACAGAAAAACAAATTTGAGATTAACGTGGTGATGGAAATATTAAATCACACTCTCTAACCCCCTACCTTGGTTGGTTCCCTTGACATTGGGAATCAATGTCATGGGATGACCCGAAGGTGTTCGGGTTCCCCGCTCATAAAATTGATGGTTCCTGCCCCCCTAACCTCCCGATAAACCCTCTTGATCGCCCCGACCCGAACACACACACCCCACCCCCTTCATTTGCACCCCCAAGTTAATTTGACTTTGAGGGGATGGGGGGTTTACCAGGGGGGTAGGTACCGTCAATTTTACGAACGGGACACTGGAGCACCTCCGGGTCATCCCATGACATTGATTCCCAATGTCCTAGGAACCGGCCCCTTATATGTAATCTAATAACTTAGGTGATAGAGATTGGGCCTAGAGCTCCTGAGCCAGCCACAGAAATACTCCTATAGATATAAAATGCTGGGTTATTTTCCCTCCAGTCTTTTTAAACCATAAAAAATACTTTTCATTAAATGATAAGAAAATAGGTTATGGTGCTGACCACATGAAGCTTGGTAAAATTTTTTATTCAATAAATAAGTTATTACTTCAAAGTTGGGAGCTTAAAATTTTGAGAAATGGTTGAAAATCCAAGTATAAATTCCTCTAATTTTTAAACTTATACTCATACTCACTACAAGAATAAAATAATTTTTAACACAATATCTTAAAAATCAATTTAAAGGAAAAATGACTACTGAAGAACACGGCAGCATGATTGCTAAACCCTAATAATATGTGAATATGCTGGATTTACAGCATGGAAAAGCTTAATGAAATTTAGGAAAATGCCAGAAAAATGATATTCAAACATTTCACAAACACCTGCAAGAAGATGTGCTAATTTAGTGAACCAACCCACTATAGATTAGTCCTTTTCCTTGTGTGAAATTTTAGAAATTTCCTAAAATGACAAATAATTTGGGACAAGAAGGATTAAAAGGGTGGAATCTTTGCCAAATTATAAAATGAGTGCATGTGTGTGGCTTTATATCTTTTACAAGAATATAATGATATATGGTACATGAATCTCACCTCCCGCAGCTGCTGCACAGACTCATAAATGCCTTCTTCGGTACACATATGACTATGGCATAGTAATCTGCAGTTACTTGGCCATTTCGTTTGCAAAATACTGGACTTACTGCGGGCCCCTACATTGATTTATATGAACAGGGCATGCCTAAGTTAGTCAGGAATTGAGTAGAGAATAGTTTATGGAGTGTGATTACTATCCCTCAGTCAAAGGGTAGTAAGATAATTTTCTGCTCTATTAAACTCTTCAGTAAAACTCTTAGTCTGTACCTGCAACCCTGATAAGGAATTTCGGCTCAATACGCGCTCAGCTACTTCCTCTGCAGAGTTTCCCCTCATGTTGGTAGTTACCTGCCATGAAATTTATCACGAACCAATTGTTTTTGAAACAAGTGAAATGTTGGGAGGAGATTTTACACAGTGATTTGACCCAAAGCACACAAATGAGCCTCTAGCCTTTCAAGCATTTCATGTGTTATATCTAGCACATCCTTACGTGTCAATGATTTCCTGCTAGCAACAAGGACCGCCTGTGCAGAAATATTAATCATAATATTTTATGTCCATCAGGTGTTGTACTAATATGTCATAATGAGGGTATGTGACTATGCAAACTTTGGAACTCTACATCCCTTGAAAATGTGCCTGCCTGTCAATATGAGCCGAAAACATGTTTTAAAATGATACTATTAATATTTTATAACATAATACAGTGCAATGTCCCTTTGACTGCATTCTTTCCTCAAACAAAATGACACTTAATATTTTATAACGATTGTTCTAGTGTTTTAAAATGGGGGCAATAATCTTTGGAAAGTAATGAGGTCAAAGGGCCATTGCACTATATAATGTATTATGTATACTTGAAGGGTTTTGCAAATGATAGTCAGGAACATTTGTTACCCAAACGTGANTTACACACTGTGAATTGACCCAAAGCACACAAATGAGCCTCTAGCCTTTCAAGCATTTCATGTGTTATATCTAGCACATCCTTACGTGTCAATGATTTCCTGCTAGCAACAAGGACCGCCTGTGCAGAAATATTAATCATAATATTTTATGTCCATCAGGTGTTGTACTAATATGTCATAATGAGGGTATGTGACTATGCAAACTTTGGAACTCTACATCCCTTGAAAATGTGCCTGCCTGTCAATATGAGCCGAAAACATGTTTTAAAATGATACTATTACTATTTTATAACATAATACAGTGCAATGTCCCTTTGACTGCATTCTTTCCTCAAACAAAATGACACTTAATATTTTATAACGATTCTTCTAGTGTTTTAAAATGGGGGCAATAATCTTTGGAAAGTAATGAGGTCAAAGGGCCATTGCACTATATAATGTATTATGTATACTTGAAGGGTTTTGCAAATGATAGTCAGGAACATTTGTTACCCAAACGTGATGGCCTATGAATATCTATTTCTAACATTCACACACATGAAATATTATCAATAGTGTATACATATTTTTCAAAACCTTTGCTCTTCCCCAGTAAATTTAGTCTCAATCAATAACTTTTTGTGTAATAAACACTCCACATTGACAATAGCAGAAATGCAGAAATAGAAAACCCATTAGCATTAGGGGCTGAAAAATTACCTGACTTTGCGAGATGACTCCACCCGCAATCTCTTTTAGATTGTTCTCTCTCGAAGTTGTTCCACTGCCCACAAGGTCTACAATTGCATCGGCTATCCCCATCTATATTAGGAAGAAGTGAGGAAATGATAACAGCAACAACAACCTACCCAGTGCTGTCCCATACATTAGGGAACCATGATAGATCTTAAAAAAACTTTTACATACTCAAAAGAAATTGAAAGTGCGATTGTATTTGAAGATCACCAAAAGAAATGCTGGAAAAGAACAAATGTGATAAAACTTCTAAGAGCAAACCATAACATCTAAAATAGAACGACATATTTCTTTGATGCAACAAATATAGGAAAAACAAACATGACTCTCAGGTGAGTCATAGCATCAAGAGCAGTAATCGATTTATGAAAAAGAGAAGAAGTATTTCATTTATATATGTAGTACAATACAAACAGTCAATCTTAATAAGACGGGACTTAAGAAAACTAACAGTCAATCTCAATAAGACGGGACTTAAGAAAACTGAACCTGTTTAAAATAGGTAAATTTGTTCTTACTGTCTCCATCTGCAGTTGAAAAGGTAACATGATTTAGCCCTTTTTCATTCGTAAACTTGGGCCCCATATGTGAAAGAATGGAGGATGTTAGAGAAAAAATATCATCAAACTTAAGAATAATAATTGTGACCACAATAATATATACTCCGTATCTGGGAAAAAGTAGATGAATATGTCACATTGCAGTACACCATGCATATGTGAAATCCGTAGCTACTATCAAGGGTCTCTCAGGTGTTCAATTTGGCATTTCTGCTAGCTCCTTCAATGAGTTCACATTCTCGAAAATTCCATACTTTCGTATCTGCAGATACGCACATATATTCCCAGTCGCACGTCATTAATATTGGAAGAATACTAATGGTGATAGGAATGCACCTAACATGACACAATTTGAATGTTTTGCAATAAAGAGCTCATTGTTACTCACTGTTTGAGATAATCGACAATTTCCATATTCTCGAGGATCATGAACTATAATGAGATCTTCATTCCCCTTCCAAGAAGATGTCAAACAGTCCGCAAAAATCATAATGGTTCTACTAAATAACAGAGCATGAAGTCGAATTGACTCAAAAAGAAATCATAAACATCAGTTTGCTGTTGTACTCCAATTCTCCTGGACAAATACAAAAGAAAGGCAGGTAAATTAGTGACTACACTAAGCAAAGAAATCTACAAGTGTGTGATTCTGCAGACAGAACGGGTGAGATAAAAATCACAAATTATAAATTGGACAATACAGCAGGCTACAAAAGAACTATCATTTCCCAAATATTAATTTTCTTGATCCCAATCCAGCATTAAACTACACTTATTTAGGGAAAAGATAACTCATGTCATTATCGACAACAGTTCTAACCTGGACCAAAGAATTGCAATAAGCAAACCTTTTAACAAGAAAACTCTTCCATTATAGTGGCTATCTAGGAACAAGGGTCTTTAGCAGTCTTTTGCTGCACTTTGACTTTGCTCTTCAATGCTGCAGTTTTGTGACTTTTGTCTTTGTTTATAGCATCCTTTGTTTTTAATTTATGCAAACAACAATATCTTATGCTGCACTTTGACTTTGCACTTCAAAACTTTCATCTCCTACCCACCCTCCTACCCACCCTACAGTCAATATCTACATGTGTGTTGTACATTCTTACAATTTATATGCCCCTTCAAGGTCATCTAGATCTTAATCTTAACTACAATGTGTTCATGAATCAACTATGGAAAAGACTCTGGCCAAATGTATTTCATTTTGAATTGTAAAATCTTGATGTCTAGGTTTTGAGAATTTTCAGTTCGCAAAGCACAACCATGAAAGTTAGATGCTAGTAAACCACGATAACTCAAAAGAATATGTAAATTTAAGCAAATACACAAATAGAGATTAAAAACAAGCATAGCAAGCACCTCAAAGTACGATCCAAACGGGATGCCAAGGTTCTGGTGTACAGCTTCGAACATCTGGAATAGGGAAATACTGAATTAACTCAAATAAGTGAAAAACAAAATAAGTGTAGAATTGTATTATCGGAAACACACAACATTATTGAGTGTTCATGAAAAGATTATGATAAGAGAAACTACCAGGGTTTTTTAATGTCATGAGAGAACATGTTAAGTGACTGTTGAAATACCTGTTCATAACCTTCATATTCAGAATTCAGTTTGACTTTTTTTATTCAAATTGAAAAGGAAAAATGGGGATCACAGTTCCTCAAAAGGGTACGCTACGCCCAAACCCATGGTTACATTTGGATCACTCTCGCTCTGTAATATATACCTCGTACGTCAGGTACGTGCGCGCAGAGTATATACATAAGTAAAGCAAAACCTAGTTCATCACTCGAACTATGGCCGCAATAATGTTTGGACAAATTAAATCAAAACAATGCTAACACTTAACTCTAAAATAACTGTTGATATTCTTAAAGAGGTTGTTGTTTTTGTTTTTGTTATTATTATTATTTATTATCAAATATTATTTACATCTTAGCTTTCTTCTAGCACATATTGGCCTCGTTTGGTATCAGCGTCAGAGATTAGCGTTAGCGTTTTGAAAAAGCTATCTGTTATATCCCTGGATGGCTCCACCAAAAATCCCAACTCCTCCCAACATATCCAAAAGTCTTTTATCTCTTCTTTTATCCCAAAATAAAGCCTTTACCATATATTTTAATCCCTGGTCAATAATAAGAAACCAAAACCTTTTTTTGTTGTTATTTTCCTTCTTTTTAATAAACAAATAAAACCTTCTCTCCCTTCCTTTCATTCCCTGGCCAAATATACCTCACAACCCAACACACCACCACACCCTTTGAACCCCACAATTGTCCTTCCATTAAATTTACACCCTTAAGGCCAAAACCACTCCTAATAATAGCCTAAATAAGCACTCCCTTACCCCCATATACTGGCCGAAAATAACCTGTCAAAAACCCCCCATTGTGTCCCTCAACTAGGCTAAATAAACAGCCACAAAAATCCAAGACACATTGACCCACACCCACACCAATCCACCCTCCTTTGTCTCCCCCATATCCTGCCTAAGAAATGCCTCTAAAACAGCTAGCCCATCTCCCTCATTTAACCCTTTCCCTGTCCAGAATTATTTCCCCCAAAACCCAATCAAACAAGTGAGATACATTCACCTATCCTTACCA